GGGTTCAGAGAGGGAGAGGGGGAGAGCCGACCGCTGCCAGTGATCCTCCAGCCGAGCGATATTGTTCCTGGTGCCAAAGGCGTAGTCGTCATCCTCGTCCTCCGACAATATCTCGTCGTCCGTATCATCCTCGGGGTCCGTATCATCGTCGGAGTCGTCTGTAACAGAGACAGCTGCGCCCTTGGGGACCGGTGTGTTGGGCTTGTAGCGCAATCGTCGACGCCTGCGTTTGACCTTCCGTCTGTCGCAAGGTGCGTCCGAATCGGGCTCTGTCAGCTCCGTCCCATATCCTCGATCGGACTCGCTGTCCGTAGCGAAGGGGGATAACTGGTCAATCGTGCCACTGCCGCTGCTGGAGGTCGGCCGGCCTCGACGGCGCCTGGGCATGTTCACGGCGCCGTGGAGGTCCGGGCTGATGACGGTTGATAAAACAATGGGAGGGAATAGTAGCGATGAGGACAGGACAGAGGGGCGGAGACCACCAGCAGATGTGTTTTGCCGCGCAGAAGGGCAGGATTGCTGGGTGTGCAGGTGGAGGTGGATTGCAGGAGGGGTGGCTCGAGGCCATCGGGGGCGGCTGGCGCTCATTATATAGAGCCATGATGGGATTAGGCGGATGGGAAGGGAGAGGAGGGCGACCCAAAAGGAGACCGAAGAGCGACAGGATCCGATTCTGGTGGCCCTGAGCAAGAAGGACCGCGGCCATTGAAGCAACCAGAACACCAGCGGGAGAGAGCAGGCGCGCGCGAGACGCCTGGTCGTTGGACCCACCACGAGATCACGTGCGCGCGTTGGGGCGTGGCGGTTGGGGCGGCGGGCCGTGGACGGAGCGCGTTTGCGCTGGACAGGCTGAAAATGGCGCGAAAACAGGCCCAAACCGGCCGCCCCGGAGCAGAACGAAATTAACTGTCAGCAAAAAACCTTTTGTTTATCAAAGTAGATAATAAAGATTCAATCAATCTAATTATCATTGCTGCAATCACAGCACACAGCAAGTATATCGACACTCGCTTCCACTATTCTCGCACGCAATTGAACGAAGGCGTTATTTCTATTAAACACGTTCCCACTGAGGATATGGTAGCAGGCGGATTAACCAAACCTCTGAGCACAGTGGCATTTAGGCATTTCATTGATTTACTAGGACTTTTCGCTGGTAACAGTGAGAATGATTAAATTTCTGTATGTAGCATGATTTTGGGATGATCCAAGTTGAGATAGCTAGCATGGAAGATTTGTAGGAACACATCACGCACGTTGGCGCGTGGGGGGGTGTTGGGGGGTGTTGGGCACTAGTTGCCCAGGCGGCCCTCCACCGCACGTGATTACCCCTATATATAGTTAGCTAGCGATCGCACAATGAGAAGATCAACCATCCCACACATATTGTGTTGCTCTCGCGTAGTTAGTTTAGTAATTGACAACAACGTTATCCTCCTACAACTTGCGAGGTGGAGTCGGTTGGTTTATCGCGACAGAATTGGCTCATACAGGCACAATTAGCTGATTTCTTCACCCCTTATTGGCTGATATTACCATCTCAGGTCGGTAACTGGTCAGATCAAATTCTTGATTTTTGAGAAGTATTACATAGTAGTTATATATTTTAACAGGTTGAAACGAGCAACAGCCGGAGTGTTTTTCGTCAAACATATGTTGTTGAGCCCTCTTATATATTTTATTTTAGAAGATGGTCTATTCTCCTCTTTTATGACAAGAAACTGTCACTGGCCTACGAAGGCGCTATGTCGACTAATTCTAACCACTCTCTACTAACTTCTGAACGGTATCAGCCGTAGCAGCTGGTCCACCAGACTCTAGAAGGAGAACCTTACCCTCCTTACTCACAGCAAACACTCCACGGACGGTTCCCTTGGGCGTCTTCTTCAGTCCAAGAGCACCAATCAAACTAGCTGTAGGATCACAGAGTAAAGGATACGGGAGATTTTGCTTAGATTTGAAATTCGCGTTTGCTTTGGGGGAGTCGGCAGAAAGTCCAAAGATAGACAAGCCCGTAGATGTAAGTTTGTCGTATCGGTCACGGAAAAGACAGACTTGGGTTGTGCCTTTTGGGATTTTATTTATTAGCTGGGTAAGCGAGATATGGAAGTAGAGGCAACGTTTTCTCGTAGAGATAAAGTGGAAGAATTATTTTTCTTCGGGGGATGCGATAAGCATGTTCCTATCAGAGAACAAGTATCATGAAAGGAGACTGAGATGCAGTGCGCAAACGAAATGGTAGTGGGTTCTATAGAAGCACAACGCTCTACTTACAGCCAGGTGTTGAAGCGCGCGGATAGGTAAACAAAACGACACCGGAGGCGCTCTGCTCAACCAGCGACTTCAACGTCGTTGGAGCTCCGTCGTGAGTCGTGATATTGGTTCCGATCTGGTCGAGGTCAATTGTGTCGCCGATCTTCGGCGGTTTCTTCTGCGACGACGGAGCCACAGGCGTCGCCTCCGCATTCAAGGCCTCTTCTTTCTTGGGCCTTGGTATGGCAGCGACAGCAGCGGGAGCATCAGGTTTGGTGACCTTCTTCGTCTTTTTTGTACTGGGTTTAGGGGGCTCGGCGGGTGCTTTGCGCTTCCTTAATTCAACCATTCCTTCTTCCTGCTACTGGTATGATGGAGATGTGAGGATTTATAAAAGGTAGACCAGAGGGATCAATGCAGTAGAGATATATGATTCAGTTAGAACGTACGGAGTACGTATAGATTTGAATTTCCGGTTTCAATGATACTTTATTTGGTTTACTGAGACGTTGGAACACCGAGAGTCTATTTTGGGCTAGCGAACGCCATGACACCTGTTAGTCCCGCGTTCAATCTGATAAGCCTTTTTGGACCAAAGCGTGGCAGTAAACATATAATCGCAAAACGAAATCTAACTTCATCGTCCATTATTGAAAACAAGTTAAGCGTTGTTCAAGCTATAATATCCCCAAGAGAATGACCGGCGAACAAATTAGGCAATAATGCAAGCGACTTCAAGACACGGCCCCGATTGATCCTAACAGCAGGAAAGAAAGAACCCCCCCCCGCGGCAGCAATGTCACTAGGCATATTTCTATTTTTCTGAAATCATGGATTTCTGCCCAAAGGAAGGCCTTGCCATCCCAGGGTAACGTTTTGGGGAACGGATGCATTATAGCAACGACCGTCTTCTATCGCCAACCCCTTTAGGTCATCCTTGTCAAAAAGTCAGCAAATTTAATATAAGGAAAGCAGAATAGCAAAGCAAAAAAAAAAAAAAAAAACCCTTACAGGAACTCTAAAGAACATATACATTTGTTGATCTATTCCTCTGAACCATTTAGTATTGTACGGGTATCCGATTGGTACTATCCGTGGCCGACGTGTTCCTCAATAGTATACATTGGACCTGGCCGGGATATTTCGTCACAAGTTGTGGATAGGATGACATGATATCCAAATTTGGTTGTGGTCACCCAAGAC